GAAAACATGAAGTGAGACGATATCGAAGAGGAGAATCTCAGGGAACAGTGGTTGCAGGTGGTAATGGGCGTGGAAACCGTCTCGATCAACTCTCTGACCCACAATACGTATTCGTCGATCGAGATCATTCAGTGTACGTGTCTGAATGGGGAAATCATGGTGTGATGAAATGGATGGAAGTTGCAAAACAAGGCATTGTCGTGGCTGGTGGTCAAGGAAAAGGAAATGGTCTTACACAATTGTCATATTCTCAAGGAGTCGTTGTCGATGAATTGGGCACTGTCTATGTGGCTGATGCAGGGAATGATCGAATCATGCGTTGGCCCAAAGGAGCCACACAGGGAAGTGTCATTGTTGGTGGAAACGGAAAAGGAGAACAATCGAACCAACTCAATTGGTCCATTGGTTTGTCATTCGATCGCCACGGTAATCTCTATGTCGTCGATTACGGAAATCATTGAGTACAAAAATTCCACATGGAATCCAATAAATGAAGGACTACGAAACGGACAAAAAACTAATTTTTCATTTTAAGCATTTCTGTAATTATGAATTAGCCCACGCGCCACCGGAATTCTTGGATTTCATGAAAAAATAATAATAAAATATTGTGTTTCTATAAGTATAAAAGTGGTCAAACCATATAGGCCATTACGCTGCTTGCACGCAAGGATTTCGAACCCTTGGAATCTTTGAAAAATTGGAAACTACCTCTTCATTAAAAATCAATGAAAATCGTTAGAAAACTTCGTATTTAGATGTTTTTGAGATTGTTTGACACTGTTCAACACCTCAGAAATCATAGATGCTCTGAGAATCCTTGGAATACTAGAATTTTTTCGGTTCCCACGTATCTTCAATGCTAGGATTGAAGAGGAAACAAGGATTCAAAGGACTCCATGAGTTAAAGCGTTATGTAATCCTCAGAATAATGAAGACTATGGTGGAATCTAGTAGAATCTAAGAATTTCAAGAGGTCTAACATTTTGAAGTTTTGGAATCCTAGAAATTCTTAAAACTCGTATAGAGTCGCATAGGCTTCTGGATGCCAGAAAAAGGATTGTAAGGACTTCATGACTTCAAGCATGGTCGTGTCTGCAGAATAATGAAGGCCATGGGGAGTGGTATTAGGTTCTAAGGATTGAAAGAGACCGGACATACCAAAGCCTTGAAGTCCAAAAAATCCTAGAATCCTCTATAGTGCCCCATAGGCATGGAAAACCTAAACAAGAATTATATGGTTTGAAACATTTCGTCTTCTGAAGAATAATGAAGACCATGATGACTTCTGTTATATTCGACGGAATTGAAGAGATCAGTCGTAATGAAGCATTGGCATCGTAGAAATCCTGAATTCTCTTATGGAGGCTCATCGTGGTTGGAAACCAAAGAAAATATTCGAAGGATTCTATGACTTGATACGTTATGCGGTCTTCAAAATAATGAATGTACTGGTGGACTCCATTGTATTTCACGGATTGCGAGCGTTTAGACAGAGACAGGCATTGGACCCTCCCAAACGCTAGAACTCGGCATGGTAGGTACATGCGGTGGATGCAAAAACTAGTATTCGAAGGATCCGTTGACTTAAAATGTTTTGTGATCTCTATAGCATAGAGAACATGGTGTATTCTATTAGATTGCTAGGATGAGAAATGGTACTGCATTTGAAGTCGATGGCGGAACATGGAGCTCAAATGGCATTATTGTCGACATCAGGTTTAAATGTGTGTTGCTGTAAAATGAATATCTCGAGAACAGTAAGAGCTAGTGATCTGCGATTTTCATCAATCGAAAGAGTCTGAGCTAGGGCATGTTTTGATGCAATATTATGTAAGGTGAAATGATTACCTAACCAATCGTTTTTGAGAATCTTTCTGAAAAATATATAATAATGCAATTTAGATCACATGAAATTTTCATTCTGACATATATATTAGATAGAGCTACTTCAGCTCTATAGTTCAAGTTGCAATACGTATGATTATCTTCTCTGAGTCTAACGTTGAGCAAATGAATTTGGCTATTTGATGGCTGAAAAATAGGAAATTGTGTTGATTGTTACGCAAATTTGCTTACTTTTTGTCAAATTTTCATCGAAACAACAAGCGATTTTCATAAAGTATAATAAAACTTGATTAAAAATCAACGCAATTTCCTATTCTTGGGACATCAAATGGGTGAGTTCATTTGCTCAATATTAGACTCGGCGAAGATAATCATACGCATTGCAACTTGAACTATAAAGCTGAAGTAGCTCTATCTAATATATATGTCAGAATGAAAATTTTATTTGATCTAAATTGCATTATTGTATATTTTTCAGAAAGATTCTCAAAAACGATTGGTTAGGTAATCGGTTCACCTTACATAATATTGTATCAAAACATGTTCTAACTCGCACTCTTTCGATTGGAGAAAACTGCAGATCGCTAGCTCTTACCGTTCTCGAGATATTCGTCTTACAGTCACCCACCTATATTCTGGCCCCGACAATAGATATCTCCTAATCAAAAACTTCCGTGCTTATATTTTTCGATTGCTAAAAATGTGAAAATCGATAAAAGCGAACAAAATAGGGTAGCTTCAGTGCACGAAAAATTGTTAAAAAAGATCGACGGCTTTGAAAAGTTTAACCAGACTAGACTAATAACCGGCAAACCAATCGATCCAGTACTAGTTCCAACTTTGTTTCGTACATAAGTCAATATTGAATCGCATCCTGCTTGCTTCACAGCAGACAAGAATTTGGTGGAACAGCTTTCAACTCTCACGATTAAGATAATTGTGCTATTTATAGAAAAATGGCCAAAGTTTGATAGACATTTTAGTTTACTCTGTTGAAATCAAAGTAGAACATCTGAGGATGGTTCAGTTAAGAGGCCTTCATTAATATCGCTCTCACTAGTTCCAATTCCCAAAAAAAACTGTAGTCCTTTGAAAGCATTTTTTGTGCTTATTTATAGAAAAAAAAAAAAACGAATTTTTTATTCGAAATTAAACGAACGTTAAATTGCACTGTTCACAATGTTATGTAGCTTATTTTTCTTTTATTCACTTTAATATCCAATGATAATTTCCTCTTGCCTCTTGGTTATACATAACTCATCCATTGCAAAATTATATCCTGAGTACTGCGGATAACGTGCATTGCTTCCAGTAGAGGACGTGAAATTGATTCTGTCAATATAAGTCCAATCTAAATCAGTTATGCTGGCTGTTGTAGCCTGAAGAATTACATTACGAGTGTAAACAACGAATCCCAAACGAAATCCTATTATTGACAGCTTTAAATTATTATTTCAAGTTTCAACTGCCAGGAATGATTTGATATGGAATGGTTGAGGTGGAATACCACCAATACTAGCCGGACGATTAGCAAAATTGTAAGCAACGGATCACCCACTTCTACTTGTGACAAGTGGTATATAGTTCTAATTAGGATACACTAATGATGATACTATTACATTAAAATTTGTCCAAGTATAACCAGAGTAATTTGCTAGTGTTGCGTTACGATCAGTTGATGGATCAACATTTGGTATGCTTTCGAAATCAAACAATGTAAATCCTTTTGAACATCTACATCCTAGAAGGAACATAGAAAAAAGAAAGTGTTCACATTTTTCTTCGAATAAGAAATCAAAACTGGTGTACCACATTTTATTAAACTAAACGGGGTCATTTAGGCTTGTGGTACGTTTTTCTGAATAGATGCACTCGAACTCTCACCTTTCACAGAATATGACGATAATATAAAATAAGAAAGAAAACCATTATCTTTATTCGATTCAAATAAATGACTCAATCCAAACGTTTTTATGACTCACATTATTGCACACAGAGTGAGAAACATTCGAGCATCCATCATTTCTTGTAGACGAAACTTTCAAGAATTTTGACTGAAAGTGAGCGAGAAACTATGATTTGCTAAGGTAAAAAGAAAGTGAAATGAGACGAAGTAGAGGTGAACTGATACACTAATATCGTCAGTACACTTTCTTTGTTTATGATATCATTTCGATTCTCGCTCTCTTTTGCTCCTGAAATGATACCGTTTTCACGGATTGCGGCACAGTTTTTCTCGTGATACTAGACTACGTGTAATTGCGCGACTGCAATTGTAATTGTGACTCAAAGAGCGTTCGTATTGCAGCCGCTTTGCGACGTAATTTAGAAGCGAAAGAAAATAGGAGTTTTCTCTTAGCAAGAAGCATCTATTTTTCATGTATGTGAAACCCGTGAATGTCCTCAAGATTTTATTTCCAAATACTTTAGAATTGAGCTTTTTCGTGGATCGATTTTCTGGCCGAAATTGAAGTTTTCACTCGTTTCAAAATATTTTAGCACACTGTGACGCAATTGAATACATGGGTCTTATCTAAATTCTTTTATTCTCATCATGACTTGATTTTTGCTTTCTTAATGGGTTTTTGTTAAGATGGTTGTTAATAAAAAACATTAACCTTATCTACTTTTTATTACGCAATCCATTAACTTTTCATTCTGCGAAAAGTACCGTTCTTTTATATACGCTATAAAGTGAATCATTTTAAAAAATGATGGTTTTGTTTATCTTGCAATATGTTCAAAGAAATTGCTCTGAAGAATAAAACAGTTCTGTTAAAATGACATTACTGAAAGTGTTTACGAGGAACTAATTGTTCTACAGTTATCAAGAAACTTTTTTGTGTCCGACTTTCATAGCTTTTTAAAGAATTCTAACATTTTACTGCTTAATTTATTTTAGAATCATGAAGTTATGTAAAGTGAGTGTGTGAATAGGCTTTCTACAACACGTGTTTCTGCTCTATCGAACGTAATCAGGTAGTTCTATGATAAGAACGTCTTGATATTAAAAACTTAGGAAAAAAAGCGTTTTCGACACCTCGATCTTCTATAGTCGGGCATTCTCTCCGTGGATGTGGGTGTTGCTATGGGTGTGCACCTTTTCTAAACCCGTGTCCACATCCTTTATTGTATTTTATATATAAGGATTGTTCGCATTAAACAAGTATGTATATATAAAGTACTTGATCTCTACTATACAAATATATTATGGAATTCAATTAATGTCATCTAGTTTAAATGCACGACTTCAAAGAAACAAGTAATGCGAGACTTTGACGTCGACAGTATTTTAGACCTATAATACATGCTGTTTGACCTGTTTGAGTAATACTAGATAAGATATGACCAAAAGCATAGAAATTACTCTTTATCTGATGTCGGCATAGTTTTTGAAATGTACATCATCTAGTGAATCTAAAAAATTAAATTTAAATATAGTCTATGATTACAATATTCATATGCCTTCATAAAGAAGTTCAGCTCGATTTAGATGAATTATTGCATTTATTTTCCTTTCGCGTTATTCAAGTTTATCATAGATCATTTCTATTAGTTGTTAATTATCAGCAATCACTTGATTCATCTTTAGATACTCATCAAAATATTTATG